TGGAACCGAATTCTGAGATAGGGCGTTATTCAGCCAAACTCTGAGATAGGGTGTTTTTCAATAAAATTATGAAATAGGGCGTTCTTGAAAAGTTTTCTGAGATAGGGCGTTTTTGAACTGGCTGCTGAGATAGGTTGATCTTCCACTCAGCCATCGATACATAGATTATTATTATTACACTGTACAGCATTGGCTGGGTATTGAACCAAACCAACTTCTTTTGAGAGGCTGAGTCTTAAGCAAAAAAGTGATTTCTCCGTTTTTCGAAGTTAGCCTCCGAAATCAAGATATGGGCCTTCGAAGTTCGAAATTGGACCTTTGGTAAAAAATTATTTTTAATTATTGTATGTAAAAAACTAAAAAAATAAAAATATAAACATGGTCCACCTTTTGCTCTTATATAAATGGTATATAACTTTTTTTGTCAAAGCTTATACTACAGGTGCTATAAGCGTTCAAAGGTCAGGTCTTCGAAAAATTAAAAACATTTTTTTTTAGAATATTTTGAACCTGACCTTTGACCCCATATAGCACCCGTAATATAATTTGCACAAAAAAAAATTACACACCACATAAATAAGAGCAAAAGGCGGATAACGTCCATATTTTTATTTTTTTAGTTTTTTACACCCAAATCAAATCAAAAATATTTTTTTACCAAAGGTCCAATTTTGAACTTCGAAGGCCAATATGAGGTTCTGAAAGGATGTATTCGTCCACTAGCCTTTACGGGCGTCTGGGCACTGAGACACACAGTACCGACGGTCAACGGTTGGGAAGGACCAGCGCTGTACACCAGAAGCGGTGATGAAATCTCACCAACTTACAACTTCACCATCTTTCTCCCATGGAGTATAGACAGAGGCCAGGAATATGCACTGGCTCTTCTGCGACCTTACAACGAAAGCCTGAATACATCATTCTGGAGAATCAGGTCAAAAGTTGAGGTCAGCTACCTAAGGCTGGATGTGGCTGTCGACGAAGAGTCCTTCAGTAGTACATGAAGGCCGAACTTTAGGCTCAAATACAGGTATTGAGACGTTCTGGTAAAGCCATTGAAGCAGCGAACCCCTAGGGATGCTGTCCATAAGGCACCAACAGGAGAGGCAACAATCGACACAGAAATAGCTGTTGATGAGCGCCGATTAGAAGGGCCTGCAATATCCGCGGCTGCTTTAGCAATGGCAAAGGAAACATACAAGGTGGTCGAAGAGCACCGCGTAGAAAGGCATAAGATCTCCGAAGCTGGTACTGCGACGACAGAGCCAACCGGACGAGCAGCTCTACAGCCTTCCACCAGGGTGCTGGAGGAACTGGCTGAAGGCCAGAACCTTCACAGCCCAGGCAGAGAACCGGAGGACCTAACTCTCTCAGAGGTAGATGAGCCGATGGTCCAGAGGAAGAAATGAACACACCACTCATCAGAATCGCCCAGATTAACCATCCATCAGCGGTAGCTGCATCCGCAGGAGGATCTGGTCATTGTTTTACCCCAAGAGCCGTG